TCCATCCGTGTCTAGTCTGCCAGTGCATCTCCGCGCGGGAGCCGAGCGGCGGCGCTGCGTGCTATCAGCGCTTACGCCATGTACAGTCTGCACATCGCTGTTGTCCACGGCGGGGCTCCCCGCGTTGATTTCGACGGCGTGTTCGGCGAGTTCGTTCGGCAAGGCACGCGGGGCCCTCCTCGGGCGACTGCTTTGGTATTCGCGGCGTGCAAGCGGCCCCGAGCTCAGTCGCTCGCCGTTTTATTCTCGTCCTCCTCCTGTGCTGGTGCTGTCGTCGTCGTCTTCCTCCCTTGCTCTGTTCCGCTCTCTGCCAGGTAACTCCCCCTGGCTTTCGCCAGTCAGCCACAAGTGTTGCATTTTGCGTCTTTGCCTCCTCCCCCTGTTTCCTCCTCTCCCCCCGCCCGCATCCTGAGCTGCCGTGCGTTCTAGCTCCTTGTCTGGATGTGCATTTGGACTCTCGCGCCATACCGCGCAATCGTCACGTTGAAGCACTAGGGGCGGTGTTTCATGTGCTTCTCTTGCTTGGCCTTCCTCCTAACTGTCCCTTCTTCCTCGTCCTCTTCTCTTCTTTCTCCTTTCTTCTTTTCCTCTCCACTTGGCTGTTGTTTTGTACTTTTGGCATTGGCCAGGGTTTCTCTCCAAGTAGGCTTGCCCTTTAGGAGTCCTAGCTCATCATAAGTAGTTGGTCTTTAGCCCCCCCCCTTTTTCCAATGGCACCCCCCCTTTATTTCCAATGCCCCCCCCTCCCCTTCCCCCCCTCTTGCCAATGGCACCCCCCAGCTATTTCCAATGGCGAGTCCTATGGATCCCTATGGATTCCTATGAGCCGTATGTATTCCAGTGCCTGTGCCAGTCCTTCTGTGCCAATGCCAATGCCAATGCCTATGCGTATGGAGTCCTTTGGATCCTGAGCTAGGATTCCCACGGCTGCTCGCTTCTTTTTGCTCGCTTCTTCTTGCTTGCCATTTCATGCTTGGCTTCCTCTCCTCCCGTTCTCTCCTCCTCGTCTTCTCTTTCTATCGCTCTTCTCCTGTCCATCTATCTTTTTGGAGTCAAAGCTGGCTGACATTTAGCACGTTATGTTCGTGACAACCGTTTTGGTAATCACGCTGCCCACTCTCCCTCCTCGTCTTCCTGTCCCTCCTTGTCCTCCTTCCTCCTCTCCCCTCTTCATCCCCTTGTGGACGGTGCTTCTTTACCCCGGGCATGGGCAACGGTTTGAAGCTGCCGATGGCGCGTCGCGGGTTTTTGGCAACCACGCTGCCCACTCCTCCTCCTCCTCCTGTTCCTCCTCCTCCTCCTGTTCCTTTTCTTCTTCTTCTTCTTCTTCCTCCTCCTCCTCCTTCTCCTCCTCCCCCCTCCTCCTTCTCCTTCTCCCCCCCATCCCCCCTTTTGTCGCAACTGCACGTCGATTCGTTGCTCAGGCCACGGTTCATAGCTTGAATTTGCCTATTGCAGGTCGGCTTGTGTGGTGTTCCTGGTTTGCCTGGCGACTTTTTGATTCGCGATGTGGTTGTGCTGTCGTTGTGCTTTGCGTGAAACAAAACATTTGGGCTCCTGGGGTGGCCAGATAGTTTCATATCCACCGCTTGCCGAGGTCCCCACTGGTCGATGCCCCGGGCGGGGGCTCTGAGTAAATCCCCGCCTCGCATCCGCGTCCTCCCCGTCCTCCTCGTTACGGGTCGGACGAAATCGGAGGGATTGTGGAGGAGGGGGGGGGGGGTACGAAGGCTGCTGCGTACAGCTGGTATCATGTCCGCCGCCACGCGCATTTCTCCGTGCATGGCCGCATCTGACGCAGGGAAACGCGACAACTAGTTGCGTGCAGCTGAAATTTGCTACTCCCTTTGCTATCCCCCCTTCGGTTCGCCCCGATCGTTCTCTTCCTCATCCCTCCTCCTCCTCCTCCTCCTCCTTCTCCCTTGTCCTCGTGAATGTTGGTTACGGCTTGAGTCCGCCTACATGTCACATTTCTCAGGCCACGGCTTCCACGTCATGCCCCACTGGGCACGGGCGGTCTCCCCATGGGAGCGCGCTAGACTCTGGTGTTCGCTTCGCTTCCTCCCTCGTCCTCCTCCTTCTCCTCGTTCCTCGTCCTCGTCCTCGTCCCCCCTCCTTCTCGTCCCTCGTCCTCCTCCCTCCTCCTCCTCCTCCTCCTCCCTCCCTCTCCTCTTTCTCCTCCTCCTCCTCGCTTTTCTCCTCCTCCTTCTCCTCCTCCTCCTCCTCCGCCCCCTCCCTCCTCCTCCTCCTCCTCCTCCTCTTCTCCGTCTGGCGTAGGAAGCTTAAGGCGGCCAGTGGGCGGCCAGCGAAGCAACAAAAAGCAGCGGGCCGCCATTCCCTGCTCGCGCGCGCGCGGGAGCGCACGCAGCTCGTGTCTGCGGCTGCTCTCCAGGAGCTGGAGGCGGAGGGTGCCTTCGGCGGGGGAGGAGAAAAACTGGGGGATCGGGGGAGGGGATGGGCAAGCGCAGGGGGGGGGAACGAGGTTGGGCGTCGCATGTGTGTGTGTGTGTGTGTGCGCGTGCGTGCGTGCATGTGTATGTGTATGTGTATGTGTATGTGTATGTGTATGTGTATGTGTATGTGTATGTGTATGTGTATGTGTATGTGTATGTGTATGTGTATGTGTAGGTGTATGTGTATGTGTGTGTTTGTGTGCGTGTGTGTGTGTGTGTGCTTGTATTTGCGTTTGGGTTTGTGTTTGTGTCGGTGTGTGTATGTGTGTGTGTGTGTGTATGTGTGTGTGGGGCAAGTGGAATGGGGGAGGACTGGGAGGAAGAGGAGGGGGAGGGAGGCGGGGGAGGAGCTCAAGCTAGTTTCCCTCGCCATGGCGTAGATCTCTTTTCCATTCGCACAATCGGGTGTTGCAGCATGGCATAGCATTACATGGCATAGCATGGTGTTGAACATCAACGCGTAGCATGCCATAGCATGGCGTGGCGACGCCCTAAAGTGGGAGGGGGCTTCTGCGGCCCAGACAATCAACGAATCGACACCGAAGGTGTAATTACTTCCGATGTTTTTTTCGGGAGGCCATATTCTAGATTTTGGTGCCTATTTGGAAGGACCGAACATCATGCCGTGGCATGGCACTGGAAATAATGACGCCAGCGCTGAAGAGGGAGCACGATTCGCAACGCGCGGAAGCGCGGAGGGGGAGGGAGAGGGGGAGGGGGATGAGGAGGAGGAGGAGGAGGCGGAGGAGGAGGAGGAGGATGAGGAGGAAGAGGAGGAGGAGGAGGAGGAGGAGGAGGAGGAGGAGGAGGAGGAGGATGAGGAGGAGGAGGAGGGATGATGGAACGGGTGATCGGGGGATATGGGGTTGAGGGAGGAGGAAGTGGTCACTGCAGATGGGGGCGGAGCAGGAGGCGGGGCGGGGTGTGGACGAGGGGGAGGAGGTTGGGCAGGAGGAGGAGGAGGCGGAAAAGGAGGAGGCGGCGGCGGAGGAGGAGGACGATGCTGTTGCTGCGGCTGCTGCTGATGATGCTGCTGCTGCTGCTGCTGATGATGATGATGATGATGATGATGATGTTGCTGATGACGATTAGGAATCTGATTCTGATGATTATGCTGATGCTGATGCTGATGCTGATGCTGCTGCTGCTGCTGATGCTGAGGATGACGAGTATGCTCATGATGCTGCTGTTGCTGATGATGACGATTCAGATGATGATGCTGATGAAGCTGATGATGATGCTGATGATGTCGATGATGATTTTGTCGTTGGTAACGATAATGGTGATGCTGATGACGATGCTGATGACGCTAATGATGATGATGACGATGCTGCTGCTGATGTTGATGATGCTGATGATGATGATACCGTTGACGATGATGATGATGATGCTGCTGATGCTGCTGACGATGATGGTGCTGATGCTGATGCTGTCGATGATGATATACTGTTGATGATGTTTCTGATGGTAATGCTGATGATGATGCTGCTGATGATGATGATGATGATGCTGATGGTGATGATGCTGCTGATGAGGATGATGATGATGATGCTGATGATGCTGATGATGATGATGCTGATGATGACGATGATGATGATGCTGCTGATGCTGATGATGATGATGGCGATGATAATGATGCTGGTGCCGATGCGAATGCTGATGATGATGGTGATGATGATGCTGAGGATGATGCTGCTGATGATGATGCTGATGATGATGAACATGCTGACGATGACGATGATGATGATGATGATGATGATGATGCTGATGATGATGATGCTGCTGATGCTGATAATGATGATGATGATGATGATGATGGTGATGATGCTGCTGCTGAGGAGGATGATGATGATGATGACGATGATGATGCTGATGATGCTGATGATGATGATGCTGATGATGACGATGATGATGATGCTGCTGATGCTGATGATGATGATGGCGATGATAATGATGCTGGTGCTGATGCGAATGCTGATGATGATGGTGATGATGATGATGCTGATGATGATGCTGCTGATGATCATGCTGATGATGATGAACATGCTGACGATGACGATGATGATGATGATGATGATGATGCTGATGATGATGATGATGATGATGATGATGATGAGGAGGAGGAGGAGGAGGATGATGATGATGATGATGACGATGAAGCTGATGCTGCTGATGATGATGATGCTGCTGCTGATACACATATTGATGATGATGCTGATGATGACGACGATGATGCTGCTGCTGATGATGATGATGATGATGATTATGATGATGATGCTGATGCTGATGCTGATGATGATGCTGATGCTGACGATGATGACGCTGATGAGGATGATGCTGATGCTGATGCTGATGCTGATGCTGATGCTGATGCTGATGCTGCTGCTGCTGCTGCTGCTGATGATGATGATGATGATGATGATGATGATGATGATGATCATGGAGGAGGAGGAGGAGCAGGACGAGGACGATGACGAGGGCGAGGACGACGACGACAACGGGGACGACGACAGCAGGCGCCCGCGCGCCCGCCGACGCCTCGGCCAGGGGTGGCCGCTGGCGCGGGCGCGCGCGCGCGCCCGCTGCCCCCGCTGCCCGCCGCGCTGAATGAGGGGGATGGGCCGCCGCCTGCGCCTGTCTCCTCCTTCCTCCCGCTTCCTCCCCTTGCCCATTCCTCCTTTTCAGCCCTCCTCCTCCCTCTTCCTCGCTCTCCCGCCTCCCCCTGTTTCCTCTTCCCTCCTCCCTCCTCCTCCTCGCTCCTTCCTCCCATCCTCTCCTTTCTCCTCCTCCCTCCTCCTGCACCCGTCTCCTCGTTCTCCTCCTCTTTCTCGAACTGCAGTTCTCTTGTACATCTTTGCTGTCTGCCCTGTCAAATTCTTTCTCCTTCCGCCGCCATTTGACCCCGTGTACGGAAGCTGGCCAGCTTCCGTGTCCGTGTCAGTTTCGTTGTAGTCACACCCATGTTCACGTGTGTACTTTGGACAAGAGGATCCGATGATCCTACATGTCGTTTCTTGGTTGGTAGTGGAGGTCCTGCTCCCACTGCCTCTCGCCGCCATGGCCCGCGCGGTGCTTCCACTGCCACGGCGCGACGCCGCCGGCATCCTTCATCGTGTTCTCCGTGTTCATTCACCTCGTCTCCGATAAAACGGACTACGGGATGCAGTACCAGACCGAGTGCGATCAGTATAAGAACGGACCCACATGTCGGGCTGTTTCTTAAGGATGGCAATGCACACGAAAAGAGATTTGGATGCATATTTCATTTGACCATCGGCACACCGGTCACATCTGCAGCCTCAGTCAGTGGGCCCGGGCTGCTCGCAACTAAAGAGCGAGAGCCCTGGAAAGTGCGAGCGGGTAAGAATTTCGATCAGAGTGGAAATCCAGACATATCGCCACGCCCGCTGGTTCCCTTCAGTCTGGCAGGACGACGTCTCGATGCGCACTCTTCTAGACGATTGTCGTGCAGCTAGTGGTATTCAGTGCAGTGGCGACACGGCGCGCGAAGGGCATGCCCGCAACTATGTTGCGGGATGTCTCGCGTGCGGCGAACGTCGCAACGTCACGATGCACGAGTTGCATGCCCGCAACTATGGTATGGGATGCCCTAGGCGTGGTGGCCGCCACGACGAGTCGACATAATTCTAGGAGGGGAAAACCACAGACACAATTCATCGTCGATTCCCAAGAAATGTGGAACAAATGTGGGAAGTGGGGGGAAAACGGAAACCCAGAAAATATACAAACATATGGGGAATCCCGGGATTTGTGTGTATCTATGTGTGTGTGTGTGTGGCTCTCTTGACCCCTTATATAATACCTGCGCCACATGCGCTGACGAAGAGGAACACGCTCGGGGCAGGGGCCAACGACGGCTCCGGATGGTCAGAGCAACGCAGTCGCTGAGCCCCTGGAGCCCCCAGCCAGCATTTCCTGGGCCTTTGGAGGGCCCTCCACTCCAGATGGAAGGCCATCGGAGTGGGCATGCTTGCCGTGGCCAGCTGCCTAACCTGCTTTGGCGCAGGAGGCGGCGTCGGCGGCAACGTGCGACACCTCTGCATATGGGGGCCCGAGCAGCAATCTCAGTTCCTTGCCAATGAGCGGCGCGGGAGGTGATCATCTGGTCAGTGGCGACTTCGGACTTCAAACGAGTTTCGCCAGGCGGCCTGCGTCTCGTCTCGCCTTGCCGGCGTGGCCCGCGAGTGTTTGGGCGACTGGCCGCCAGCTGTCCCGATCTAGGGAGGTCGCATCGACTGACCTTCTTGATGCACAGTTTGCCCGAGCGACAGGGCCAATTGGGCAAGGGGCAGGTCGCCTCGGCAGTCGGCACTCACGAACTTCCACAGACTGCCCCAGGAGCGCACCGACTACCTCATCGCACGGTCGGACATCCTCTGCACTCACACATAACAAGCTGGTCAGCTCATGATCGGCTGCGAGGGCCTCAGCTTCCTCCTTGCGCGCGGTCGGGGTGTTCCACGCGCAGCTGGCCGTGATCTTGCAGCGCTGCAACGTGGCCTTTCCGTCCAACGCAGCGCGGATCGCACGCGTGACGGGCCGGCTGCGACGGCTTGGGGCTTGGGCATGTGATCGACGGGTCGCCCGGCAAACTCGCCTCAGCGGTCCACTCGGCCCAGCGGCGAACTTTCTTCGCGGGTGCGCCCGCGCGAGTGCGCCCGCGCGAGATCAGGATCAGCCAGGTCGAGCTGGCTCCAACGCGCGAGCCGCCGCTTCCTCGCCACTGGCTGCCGACGTGCAGTTACCGAGCTGTGCCTGCGTGCTCTCAGCGGCCTCGCTCAGCATCGGCGCGCCATGCGGATCGAGCTCCATTTGGCCGCCGCAATCGACGGCGGCGCCCGCGTCGCCACCGGCGCTGGACCCCCCCTCTGGTTTGGCCCTGCTCAACGGCGACGGACCCTTTGACGTGAGCCAGCCATCAAGGATAGTGGCCGTGTGGTTTGCCGGCCGCACGTTGTGGATGTCCAGCTGCAGCCGATCCGAGCGCAGCGCGCGCGCGCTGCTCTCGACTGCGCCCAGCGACGACGCTTCGACGCGCTCCGCATTGCGCAACTGGCGTGGAGCTACTCTGATAGCATGGCGAGCAGCAGCGCCGCGCCGCGAGAAGTAGGGCAGACCCGCCTACCGACCCTCCCGGCGCCGGCTGCAGCCGTTGCTGTGTCTGCCAGCGACGACAGGGAGTGCCCCATCTGTCTCGAGATTTTCGTCGTCCGCGGCGAGAGGGTTGTGCGAATGCAGTGCCGATGCATTCTGCGCCGCGCATGCCGCCTATATCATGCAGAACGCCGACATCAGCTAGGTCTATTGCCCGGCGTGCCGCGGACCAGTTGACGTCGTCGCCGACGTCCACTTCGATCGCACGGGGCCCGCGCCTATGGCGCTGGCCCGTGAAACGCCAGCAGGAGACGTGCTGGAGGAGAGGCGACCGCAACAGGACACCGCGTGGTCGCCCCAGCCTACTCCAGCCCCTAGACACCGTGGCCAGATCTCCTGAGATCTCCAGGGAGTGCCTCCAGCTTCGCGCCAGCAGTAGGCGCGCCAGTGCCCTGTGACGCCCGCCTGGATTTGCACGTGCCTCCGTGTGGGCCTACTTCGTCTGGGCCTGCGCTTCCGTGGTGGCCGACTTCGTCGGGCACCTGCTCGAGCTCGCGCGGCGACTCGCTGTGCTTCTTGGCAAGCACCTCGCTCTCGGTTCGGGCGGCTGGTTGGGCGTCATTGTCGACGCGGGCGCTTGTTCCACTTGGGGTCGGTGATTTTCCATGAGCTTGGCCTGGCGAGCCATGCAGGCGAAGCCTCGACCCATGGGAAAGAAGTTGTCAACTCCATTGCGTGGCAGGAGTAGGCAAAGGTTCGCGGGTGGCGAATCGGGAAATTCATTGCCCCATCGCCGCGACATCGCGCGACGGTGTGGCCGTCCAGCGCAGCGTGCTCGCTCTGGCAGTGGCGGGCGCAGGCGACGCTCCCCGTTCTATTAGGTCTGCAATTCCTGCAGTCCAACAGCGGGGCGGTGGAGAACAGGAGGCGTAAACCGCGAACGCCTCGCATTCCCCTGACTGGGCGGCAGCGAGATCACCTGGGCCTTGGTGCGATGAGCTTCGAGCTGGAGCCTGCGCCGAGTTGTCACCTGTGCGTTCCCGTCGACGACTTCGGTGAGCTCCAGCCGCGCTCCAGGGGCCTGCCGCTCAAGCAGCTCGCGCCGCTGGCGGTGGGCAGCGACGGCCAGGATCACCCAAGCGCCGACGGGCGGGCATGTTATTCCCAACCAACCTGTGTTGCTGGGTCCTCGTTTTGAAGAGACGGTCCCCGCGTTCCTCCTCCTCCTTTCTCCCCCCCTCCTCCTCTTCCTCCTCCTCTTCTTCCTCCTCCTCCTCCTCCCCCTCCTCCTCATCATCATCATCATCATCGTCATCATCGTCGTCATCATCATCATCATCAACATCAGCACTATCACCCCCCAGTTTTCGTGGCCCCACGGGGAGCGCCACCGAAGGTCCCCGTGGCGCAGTCCTCATGCGTCTCCCCCACCCAGTGCAGCGTTTCGTGGCCCCATAGGGAGCGCCGTCGAAGGTCCCCGTGGCGCAGTCCGCATGCGTCTCCCCACCCAGTACAGCGCTTCGTGGCCCCATTGGGCTCCACCGAAGGTCCCCGCGGCGCAGTCCGCATGCGCTTCCCTCACCCAGTACAGCGTTTCGTGGCCCCATATGGAACCCCACCGAAGGTCCCCGTGGCGCAGTCCGCATGCGTCTCCTTCGCCCAGTACAGCATTTCGTGGTCCCATAGGGAGCTCCACCGAATGTCCCCGTGAGTTGTAACTGCCGCTCCTAAAGGCCTGAGAGTGGTGGTCGATTGCATGTGGAATGATCCTGGAAGCTGGGTTGGGATTTTCAAAAGATGACCGCTAGTGGATGACGGATCTTCCACAAAAAGGATGTGCCGGAGGAGTAGGGGCCAGACAGCAGGGGCTTGCTTGCCAGAGAGGTGCCCGAGACTTTCAGGACGCGGGTGGCGGTGGGTGCCGAACGCGCCCTCTTCTTTGCAGCAGCCCGAGCCGTGCGCGCGCGAGCTGGTCAAGAGCTGCGCCGGGCTAGGGGCCGCTGATCAGGGCCCCGCGCCTGGAGGTAACGACGCTCATGGCGCGCGCTTGATTTGCTGCGAGTGCGGTTTTGGAGCGAAGAACGCCAGGGCGCGCGCGGTCCGCGAAGGGAATTTTCACGAGCCTATCTCGGACCTTGGCGTTGGACCGTTGGCTCCGCGTGCCAGATTTGCATGGCGGAGTTTCGCGCTCGCGGTAGATTAATCAGGTGCCTCAAGGGAGGGCCGAAGGGGGGGATGTCGTGCCACTTGGGTGTCCCTGGGGCGTGCTTCTGACCTTGCCGAGGTTTCGAGGTGGCGCGGCGATAGTGCCCTTCTTCAGTGGAGATGCCGCAAGGGAGGCAAGCATGCGCGCGCCGTGGATCCTGCTGCCTACCCTGTGTTTAGACCACCGCTCGCTTGCCGGGGGGCGGTTGAGGCTCCTGCTGTGCAGATCGCCCCGCCCGCCAGCGTTGCGCCCGCTGCGGGGGCCGCTGGCAAACCGTTGCGCGCAGTTTATTTGATCAACCGTTGATCATCGCCCCAGGCCTGCCTATCCAGGACTTCCCAGTGTTCTCTAGCCTTCGCCAGGCTCAGAGAGTTCAGCAGATCAAATTGGAAGCCTGCGCCGTCGAGAGCACCGCCGTGCAGTGGGGCCTCATCTCGATCGGCCACCGCAGGATGGAGTCCGTGGGAGAGGAGATCAGGCAGGCGGGTGGGTGGAGGTGCTCAGGCGACCATGCTCATATGTCTTGGCAAGGGGGCGAAGGATGCCACAGCGTGCGTGCGACCGCGGGATGGATGAGAGTTGTTGCCAGTGCTGTTGCTCTTGTCGTTGGCACTGAGAACTTGTTGATGTGGGGCGGTGAGCTTGACCTAGAACACCTGTGTGGCGGTGTGCTGTGGAGGCCCCTCGACCCATATGTGCTGTAAGTGTTCTTGCTGCTTCCTCTCTTCTCTTTCGGGGTCTGCCGTGTTTTGGGTCGGGGCCCTTGATGTCGCGACGGCATGCTGCTGCGCTATGGCCTTATTCGGCTCTCTTCGCATTCCCCTTGTTTTCCCCTCTTCACCCCTGGGATAGCCAGCAGGGGCGACGGTCTTTAGCTTGCGACGCGATGCGATGCGATGCGATGTGTACGAGGACGAGGACGGGGACGACGACGAGGACGACGAGGATGCTGCTGATGATGGTGATGAACATAGTAATGCAGATGCAGGTGAACATCATGTGATTGATAATATGATGATGGTGATGATGCTAATGAGGGTGCTGATGCTGCTACTGCTGCTGCTGCTGCTGATGATGATGATGCTGATAATGATAATAATGATAATGACGGCGATGATGGTGATGATGATGGTGATCGTGATGCGGATGATGCTGATGCTGGGGAGGAGGAGGAAGAGAAGGATCGGGGGGAGGTGGAAGAGGAAGAAGAGGTGTAGGAGGAAGATAAGGGCGATGAGGAGGAAGCGGAACAGGAAGAGGACGTCGAGTAATACTAGACAGAAAGCGACTTATATTTCTTAGGGAAATCATAAGTATAATAAACATACAAGGAACTGTGCGACTATTAAGAACACTTAGACTACAAATAAGACGACATCCGGGATCATTAAGAATACTCATGATACCAATATGAGAAACTACTAGGAGTAACCGTCGAACAAGAGGAACGCACATGCGAATTCCATTAATCCTACTATTCCACAATATGGTATCAGGAAAGAAACACATGACGACGAATAATAACGTGAACAAGGATGCGAATATTAACAATGCTACCACTAGTAATACTGATAGGAATAATGTTAATCATAAGAAACAGCACAAACACATTACTATCAATAATAGTTCGAAGAGTAATGATGGTATTAAGAAGAAGGGTACTACGAGTATTAATCATACTAGCGGTCATAGTATTGCGGGCAGTTCGCATAATATTGCTAGTGCGAATGATTCAACAAACAAGAATTATATATACAGATGCCACGAATAATCGTACGATTAAGGACGTTACTATTCAGAAGAAGATTGGGTATACGAAGAAGAAGAAGAAGAAGAAGAGGAACATGAGGGGCAGGAGGAGGAGGAGGACGAGGAGAGGGATGGAGAGGGGGAGGAGGAGGAGGTGGAGGAGGAGGAGGAGGACGAGGAAGAGGAGGAGGAAGAGGAGGAGAAGGAGGAGGAGGAAGAGGAGGAGGAGGAGGAGGAAGAGGAGGAGGAGGAGGAGGAGGAAAAGGCGGCGTCTCCCCGACGACACGATAATGACCTGGCGCAGCGGGGGCGCGAGGAAGCCCTGCATGCAAGCGGCGCGATGGTGAGCAGCCCTGGCCGCGCTGAGGAATCCACAGGAGTCGCCGTGGGCAGGGGCCAGAAGCTGCTGCACGCCAGGCATCTTGAGCATCGGGTGGTACATTCGAGCATCATGTGAAGATTGGTCTGAATTCCGTTTCTGGGGAGATAGCTGCATATACAGTTCAACACAGGCGGGAGAGACAGGTTTGCAGCAACGCTTCCCCACCTCCGCAGCTATTTTCTTCAGAGGTCCCAGAGAGGGCCGCGCTTGCAGCACGCTGCGCACTGGGCACCAGCGCTGGGTCCAGGAACAGAGTCAAAGAGGAAGCCGGCCACGCGCAAGACGGGCCCTTCGTCAGAGCGACCCCTGGCGCTGGGCTTTCGCAGGGCCCGTCTCGATCCCATCGATCCGAACCGATATCGATTCTGGCCGGCCCGACCCGATTCGATATCTTGGCCGTCTGGTGCGGCCCGAGGCTCGTATGTTCGGGTGTTGCTAGAAGTGCCCGTTGGCCAAGGTGCCCCCAGGATTCTCGGGGTGGCCCAAACGGCCTCCAGAGCACCCCTCACGAGGCCCAGAGGGCCCCAGGGGCTCCAACATGGAGCTAAAAGCTGGGGGCACCTTGAGCCAGGGGTACTCTTGGCAACACTCGATGTGTCGCGGTGGTGCGTCCTGGCGCGACCGATTCGCTTCGGCCTCGACTCCGTGCCGATGCAGCCCGACCCGACGCACACGCCGGGTCCGATCCGATCTCCGGTGCGGGCCGGTTTGGCGGTCGTGGGGCGCGGGCCGCGGCGGTCGTGTCGCATGCAGCGGTCACCGGGGAAGCGCGAACATGGATTCATCGGGAGCCTCGAGACGGGGGTCAATGCAAGCGGGGGTGAGCCAGAGAGCCCGATCCTGCAGGATCCTGCATGGACAGGGTCGCATTGGCCCGGGTTGGGGTGCAGGAGCCTGCAGGATCCTGCAGGATCCTGCGCACTGGCACGGGCTTGGGTGCAGGACCCTGCAGGACCTTGCAGGATTCTGCAGGGCCTGACTGAGCCGGGCCTGGATTGACCCGGGTCAGACCCGAGTCAAGGCGCGAGGATCAGGGGTGGGTTCCCCTTGCCATGCGAAGTCGGCGCGCTCCGTCGCAAGATCAGACGTCTGTGGCTTCATCTTTCGGGGGGCACTCACCAGCCGTGTATCTGGCGCCCACGTGCCAGGATTAAGTCGGGCCTGTCCCTCTACAGGAGGGATATTCCAAATAGTCAAAAATAGTCAGGGGACTATGTTTTGAGTATTTTTCGATCATTCGGGAGTATTTTTTGAGTATTTTTCCCTACCTAGGCTCTGCCTCGAAGGGTTCTTATTCGGTTAGCTTAAAGGGCCGGGCAGTGTTGCACGCCCCGGGCGGTTCCCCCGGCATCCGCCCTGCGGTTCCCCCAGTGACGTTCCCTTAGCTTCGCGTTGCTTATCTCATCTTAGCTTAGCCTAGCTTAACTTAGCTTAGCTTAGCTTAGCTTAGCCTAGCCTAGCCTAGCCTAGCTTAGCTTAGCTTAGCCTAGCTTAGCCTAGCCTAGCCTAGCTTAGCTTAGCCTAGCTTAGCTTAGCTCAACTTAGCTTAGCTTAGCGCAGCGCAGCATTAGCATAGCATAGCATAGCATCGCATAGCATAGCATCGCATAGCATAGCGCAGCATAGCATAGCGCAGCATAGCATAGCGCAGCATAGCATAGCATAGCATAGCATAGCGTAGCATAGCATAACATAGCACATCATAGCATATCATAGCATAGCATTGCATAGCATAGCGCAGCATAGCATAGCATAGCAAAGCAACAACAAAACCAATGCGGAAGTGTAGATGTTGATTTAGATGTAGGTGTAGGTGTAGATGTAGAGGTAGGTGTAGATGTATATGCAGATATACATGTAGGTGTAGATGCAGGTGTATATGTATATGTAGATGTGAGTATAGTTTTAGATGTAGATATAGATGACTATGCATGTGTACATGTAGATGTAGCTGTAGGTGTAGGTGTGGATGTAGGTCTAGATGTAGATGTAGGTACTAAGCTGTACTTTCATTACTACTACTACTACTACTACTACCTACTACTACTACTACTACTACTACTACTACTACTACTACTACTACTACTACTACTACTACTACTACTACTACTAACTACTACTACTACTACTACTACTACTACTACTACTACTACTACTACTACTACTACTACTACTACTACTACTACTACTACTACTACTACTACTACTACTACTACTACTACTACTACTACTACTACTACTACTACTACTACTACTACTACTACTACTACTACTACTACTACTACTACTATTACTACTACTACTACTACTACAACTACTACTACTACTACTACTACTACTACTACTACTACTACTACTACTACTACTACTACTACTACTACTACCTACACCTACTACTACCTACACCTACTACTACTACTACTACTACTACTACTACTACTACTACTACTACTACTACTACTACTACTACTACTACCGCTCCTGCTACAACTGCGACGATGAGAAGAAGGAGGAGGACGGCGTTTACCGTTACTACTAATACTGCTCTCCTCGGGGCTCCAACTCCTAGGTAGGGTCGCTCTGGGATAATGTGTTCTTCGTCGACAATCCCGCTACAGGGGGACACGCCCGACTTAAGCCCACGTGCCAGGTCCACGGATCCGTGATCCGTGCAAGCGTGTGTCCGGGCACAGCAGAGAGCCACAACCAACACCAATTGTCCCTTTTCGGCAGGGCTCTCGGGCCCTCGAGGAAGAGGCAGCCGACCTGCTGTGGCCGTGGTCGATCTGGCCGTCCTGGGGCGCCACATCGACCACAACCAGTATTAAGTCGGGCCTGTCCCTCTACAGGAGGAATATTCAAAAATAGTAAAAAATAGTCTGGGGACGATTTTTTGTCCATTTTTGAATATTTCAGGGCATGTTTTGACTATTTTTATTTTTTGTCCAAAATCGGCCTGTAGGGGGACAGGCCCGACTTAATGCTTCTCATGCATCGCAGCGCATGGCGCGCGAAACCAGTCTGTCCAATCGTGACAGCATTGCGTTGGCGCAGATATGGATCCCCATGCAGCTAGCCTGTTGTGCCCGCGCGAACCATCTTTGTGGCAGACGTGCACGCGCGTTGTTTAGTGCTCGTGTTGTCGCGAATGCGCTGTTGCGCCAAGTCTTGCATGGTGTGCGCTGCGCAACGCTTTCTATTCCCCCTCAGGCGTGCCCCATCTCGTGCCCACCAGTTCCATGGACGCAGTGCCAATGAGAAAGTCGTATTCAGCTTCGGGGCGCTCGACATGGGAAGAAAGTGAGACGGGGCAGGAACTTGCACGACGACGCCATGCGCGCATCGTCGGTTAGCCGCCCCAGTTGCATGGCTTCTTTATTTCTCTCAATCCGTCCCTTACTTGGCTGAGTATTCCTTCTCTGGCTTCGTACAAGTCGTTTCGTTAAAGTTCATCCTGCAACTCTTTGCGCGTGAGCCGTCGCTCATCCGGCGCAACCACTCGCTGCCTCATGGAAAGTCCTATCCTGGCCAGGGTTTACCAGAGGGGTTGGCTTGGAGGGTTGGGCGGATGGTTGGCCAGCGTTGGCCAGAGGGTTGGTTAGGGTAATTCTTCGATCGTTAGTTTTTTCCGTGGCAGGCTTGCAAGATCGCGCGGTCGCATTTGTTGGTCGCAGACACTGCGATCGCGCGAGTCGGTCAGAAAAGCAGGGTGGCTGCTAACTCCAGAGTAGTGCACAGAGACACTGGAGGGGGGGGGAGGTGGTGGCCGCGGGATGGGGGGGAGAAGAAGGTGGCCCCTTCAGATCATGCAGATCTTGCAGCGGTGTGCTGCGTCGCGGGATGCCAGGGCGTGGTGCAAATGCAAAGGTGAACGGCGAGTGGCGCTCAGAAAGAGGACTGCGCCAGCATGCGAGCCCGTGGCGACCCGAGGAACTCGGTCAACGCCAACGCAGCATCAGGATTAAGTCGGGCATGTCCCTCTGCAGGAGGCATATTCAAAACTAGTAAACAAAATCGTCTGGGCTCGACTTGCCGATTTTTTTCTGGACTATCAGTGAGTATTTGTTTGGCTGCTTTTCTTTGGTTTCCCCTCAAGATCCGCCTGCAGGAGGACCTGCCCGACCTGACATTGGAAGGCGGGAGTCATCGGGCGAGCACCGCGCGCCCGTGGCAGGCGGCCCCGCGCGGGCGCCTGCCAGGCACACTGCGGCGCCAGGCTGCCGACAAAACGGCTGGTCCGACTGCGGGGCTGGAGCCCGCCGGGGCGGCGCAGGGGCACGCACCCGCAGCCGGGCGGAGGGCGGCAGGGCTCCGGCGGAGGAAGAGGTACCCGTGCCGCTGCCCCTCGGCCGCTCTCCCCTCCTCGGGGCCTCCTCTGGGAGGCCCTCGTCGCCACCGCCGGCCTCGCCCGGAGGTCCTGGTCCGAACGCACCCTGGGAGGTCCGGGGAGCAGCGGCGTGCGGGTGCCTCTTGGTTTCCCCAGGGCTCTGGCTCACTGGCGGCCTGCTGACAGAGCGGAGCCGAGAGGCGCCGGGCATGGCGCGCCCTGCAAGAAGCTCGGAGCGCAAGAGAGGGGGGTCAATGCCAAAGGTGGCCAGCCAGAGCCACAGATCTTGCAGGGCCCTGCAGGGCCAGGGTCGCATTGACCCAGCCTTCGGTGCATGGTCCTGCAGGAAGTCTGCAGGACCTTGCGGGATCCTGCGAAGCCTGACTGACCCGGGTCTGGATTGACCCCAGCCAGTGTATCCCCGAAGGGGGAGTCGGACGGGGCTAGGACGAGGATGGGTCGGTTCCAGAGCGTTCCGGAACGCCCTGAGATCCGCAACGCCCTGAGAAGGCCGCGGCGCCCGAGACATCCTCCAGAACCGCCAGATTTTAGAGATTCTCGGTCTATCCTCATCCGATTTTATCCTCGTCCGAGGACGAGGGGCCGAGGAAAGCGGGGGGAAGGCGCCGCCGCCACGAAGGTGTGCAGAGCGGCGGCCGCAGGTGGCGGCGGCGCAGGCCCGGCAGACTGGCCACCAGAAGGGCGGCCGGTGGGGGCTCACGGCTGCACTCGCGGGGGGGGGGGGCATGTGCAGGAGGGGAAAAATATCACACAGACACAAGTGATCGTCGATTCCCAGGAAAATATGGGGAAATATGGGAAGTGGGGGGAAGACAAAAACCCAGAAAATATAGGAAAATGTTGGGAATTCTACATGTGCACCCACTCGTGAGTGGGCTGGCCGCTCACAGCGAGCCAGTGGCGGGAGCCAGTGGGATCTTGGTGAGGGTTTCTGTTACCCTCTGGGCTACCTATGACGCGCGTTATGTCCCCCCCCCTCCCCCCCCTCGCCACGCCCCCAGAACGGCCGCAGTGCGTCTGGCACCACAGTATGGGGGAGGGGGGGGGGATCGTTACGTCATGCCCCCCCGTCGTCCCCTCCCCCTCTCCCCCCGCAGTAACGACCGTCATCGCCGCGAATTGAAGAATGCGCTCTTGGGAGGAGGCTGCCGAAGCAGCCGCAGGGACCGCCTCTGGGGAAGATAGCGCCGCTGTGGCGGCAGAGCATCGCGGCTCTGCGCGTCGGAGGAGGGCCAGTCGAGACAGGGGCGGCCCTCGGGGGACCGCTTTTGGGCGGACGTGAGTCCAGTTTCGGTGGGTGCATCCGCGTGCAGGCAACCAGCGGCAGGACGGGACACCCCCTGAGGAGAGACATCGTGCCTCTGGTTCGGCACGCCGCGAGTGGTACCGAAGCCGCAGCGGCCGTGCTGACTGTGTGAGACTCTGCGTGGCAGTTGCTGGTCCGGCCGCGTAAGCGATCGGACCTCCGCGTGTCCGATCAAGCTCCAGGCGCTTGTGTGCAACAGGCCTCGGGAACAAAAATATAGCGAACACTCATGCCACATTCATCTGTCAACGCCTCCCCCTCCCACCAATGTTCAAAGATGGCGGTGGGTCTGATGAGTTGCACCTCGACCGCAGTCTCCCCCGCGCGTGCCAACTGTAAGTCTGGGGGGCAGGGGGGGTGTTTACTAGTTGTTTCCCTCTACCGAAGTGCGAGGCGGGAGCTGATGGTGTCCAGGTGCGGGCGCCTTGCTGCGACGTGCGTGTCCAGAGGCGGCCGGCGGAGTCAGGACGTGCCGCCAGAGGCGGCGCAGGGTGGGCGGACGGCGAGAAGAAGGGAATGCTGCCTCGGCAGCTCCGTCGCCCACGGCGATCCGAGCGCCTCTCGGGCCGAGCGAGAGGGGGGGATGGGGAGAGGGGGGTTACGAAATCTGCTGCATGCAGCTGGTTTCGGCCCCGCCGCCGGGCCCATTCCTCGATACATGGGCGCCTCCCGGCGCCGGGAGGCGTGAGCCGATTCTCCCCCCCCCCCTTCGCTATCCCCCCTTTTCGCCGAGCACGAGCTCCTCCGCTGAGGTGAGGGTCCTGACGCGCACCGCCGCCCAGGGGGGCCTCTGCATGTACTTGAGACGCAGAGCTGCGAGGAGCAGAACAGCAGAAGAGCAGCGTGGCCTCTCACGCCGCCGACGGGCAGCGGCTGTAGGCAGAACGCCTTGGCGTCAGCATCGCTCACGACGGCAGGATGCAGACACGCCAGCGGGCTACCCTCGCCTTGGCGGCAGCAATTGAACGCCACTTCGCCAAGTGTGCCCGCGCCTCGTTCCAGCAGGCGCCAAAAGTGTTTTTTCCCCAAAAAGTGCTTGCACTTAGTGGTTCGCACTTCTCTTTGAGGAGCTGGGCCTGTGCGTCGGTCTGGCGGCTATGTAGTCGCCGTCGCCGCCCTGTCGCCGCCCCGTCGCCGACTCGTCGCCGCCCATCGTCTGGGCCTGTCAGTCAGTCTGGCGGCTATGTTGTCGCCGTCGCCGCTCCGTCGCCGCCTCGTCGCGGCCTCGCATATCTACACCACGTAGGAGCGCACCACATGGGCCGCAACACATATATTGCACCACGTATGTTCCACCACGTATATTGCACGTCGTAGATCTTCACACATGGCATATATTGCACAGCATAGATCGCACCGTGTAGACTGCCCTGCATATCTCGCACAATATAGGCTGGACCACACAGGTCGCACCGCGTAGTCTCTACCCCCCTCCCCTCCGGGTCTATCCGCCTCCCCTGAGGATGTACACTTTACCTGTGATTCTGCCCCATTGTCACTTACAATGTGAATTCAGTTGGTCCCAGCCAAACTGTGCTCGACCCCCTCCCGCCACCCCATGCCCAAACATGCGCGCACACTCGTTTGTCAACCGTTAGAAATTAGAAATATCCCTCACGACAGATGGGACGAAGTGCGCACGCGCGCGTTGTCGCGCGCGCATGCCGCAATCCCTCAACAACCTTAGACATCGCAGTAATTTCAAAGCCGAGTGTCCTGACACATATAAACAACCATTGGTTTTATCAGCAGGGATTTTCAAAACGTATGCGCGCGCGCGCTCCTTGCGAATTCATTTAACAAGCTATACGCTTCAGCAAGCTCATCACATTCGACTAAACGCGGCTCTCATTCGAACGCCTTTGCGCGCGTGCTTTTGGGTGGGGTTGGGGGCACGATTCCTTGCGCCCGTCGGCCGCGCGCGCATGTCGAAGTCTTTTGGCGACCTCTGTCGCCGACACGTGGACACCAGCATCGTCAGCGGCGTGATCAGCATGGGCGCCGTCAATGGCATGTCGTCATCGTCGTCGTCGTCGTCGTCACCAGCATCGCTACAATTATCATCGTGTGTGCAATTGTCGACGTCGACATGATACCGCGCCCGCCCGAGTCACAAACTCACACTGAAGTGCCCGCGCGTCAGGGCGGTCTGCCCGACTCGCTGGGAAGTCCCTAGTGGTCAGCGCCACTGCGGCCGCGTCGGTCGCGCCAGAGTAGCTGGCCGCCCTGCGCGCGAGCCTGCGCGCGCTAGCGCGGCCGCATCAATGCGCCAACCAGCGCCACGCAGTCATCGCAATCGCCGCCCCATGGGTTTTGTAAACGAAGTTGCGGATGGGTGGGCGGGTGGGGTGATTGCGCGAGCAGTGGAGCTGACAACTTCTAGTTCGGAAGGGTGACGCGGACCACATATGTTGCACCACACAGGCTGCACCACATATATTGCGCAACATGCACATACACACGGGCACAAACATACATGCGCACACACACACGCACACGCGCGCACGCACGCGCACACGCACACGCACGCGCACACGCACACGCCCACACACATGCACACGCACACGCACACGCACACGCACACGCACACGCATACCCACACCCACACGCATTCCCACACGCATGCGCACGCGCACACGAGCACGCACACGCACACGCACACACGCACGCGCACACGGACACGCACCCACACACCCCCACACACACGCACCCACACATTCACAGACCCGTACACCCACACACACCCTCACACACACACACACTGCACATTGCACACTGCGCCACTGCGCCACACCACACCATTCCACTCCGCACCGCACCACACCACACCACACCACGCCACCCCACACCATACACAGAAGCACGCGCACATGCACACGCACACACACAGACACACGCACGCGCACACACAGAGACACACACACACACACGGACATGCACATACACGCAGACAAACAGCCACACACACAAGCACGCACGCCAACACGCATTCGCGTGCACACGCACACACGCACACACAGTCTCGCACACACATACACACATACACGAAAACCCACGCACCCACGCACAAGCACACCAATACACACCAACGCACATTTCACGCGCACCACATCACACTTCACCACACTCCACACACACACACCCGCACACGCACACGCATACGCACAAACACGAACACACACACACACGCACACGCAGAGACACACACACACGCACACGCGCACGCACACGCACACGCACACATACGCACACACGCACACACGCACACACGCACACACGCACACGCACATGCACACACAGACGCACACACACACACACGCGCCTGCACACGCACACACGCATGCAAACACACGCTCACACACACACGCACACACACACACACACGCGCACACACATGCACACACACACACACACACACGCACGCACGCACTCACGCGTAGCCATTTTGGCTCAAGCCTACCGTGGGCGCCAGGTAGGTGGTGTGTGGTGCGTCTGTCCCAAGCCTCGTCATCTCGGCGGGCGCAGAGAGCGGCTCTCTCATTACCCTGCCTCCGTGTCGCGGCCTCTGCGATGGGGGCGGCGTGCGACGACAGCAAGGTTGGGCTCGGGGGGCTGCCCGATGCGTGGCGGCCCATGCGCCGCGCCCAGCAGGAGATCTCCTTGGGCCCGGCGGCGGCGCGGAGAGCGGCCCGCCGCGGGCGTCGGCAGGCCTGTGAGGCCGCGCTGCGCAGCCTGGTGGCGGAGGCCGCCTTGCCTGGGTCGTGACGGGGCCGTGAGCGGGCCGCCAGACCCGCCCTGCGGCTGGCAGCGGCGGGCGCGCGCGTGCCAGGCAGCGCCAGGCGTCGCAGAAATGCGGCCTGGCATGCTGCCGTGGCGCCAGCGGCAGGCTTTGCCCAGGCCTGCGACGCCGCCACCTCGGCGGCAGCGAGCGGCCCCGGGCTGGGAGCCCCTGCCCCATGCACCCTTCCGACAGCGCCGCGGCAGATGGCGGCCACCACGCCCGCCGAGCTGCGGAAGGAGGCGCCGCGATGGCCCGAGGGCTGGCTGGCGCAGGACAGCACGGGGAAGGGGCAGGGCGAAGGCGACGAAGAGGAGGAGGGCATGAAGGAGGCCCCCGAGTCGACAGACAAGGACTCCGTGCTCGCGGACCCCGTCCTAGTGAAGGAGGAGACCGTTCGGCATGGAGGCGAACGCGTTCGAGGAGCAGATCTCCTGCGCGGCGGTGGCGATGGCGCCCTCGAGGACGAGGCGCGCGCTCCCAGAGAGGTGAGGGGCGACGTCGAAGAGAGCGTCGAAGAGACGGAGGGTGACCTCATGCCTGCCGCTTGGAGCGCCATGGCGACCGCTAGGGCGCTGAGGCGGGGATCGGCCCAGCCCTTCGCGCGGCGCCGTGCGGAGCTGGTCAAAGGGGCCATGGCGACCGCGCAGCGGCTTCGCGCGCTCTTCGACGCCTGGTGGGAGTCTGGCCGTGCGTCCGCGACGACGTGTACCCGGCCGTGCCCTGGGCGCAGTGCGGCGACGACTTCGACGGCTCCTTCGGCGTGGGCGGGGTGCAGCGGCCCTTCGGGCCGCAGGGCGCGCGCCCGCCGCCGCCGCCGCCTCCTCCCTCTGGCCCCGCCCGTGACAGTGTCCGCCGCGAGTTCACGGCAGCCGACTGGCAGGTGTTGAACGAGCTGCAGGAGAGCACCCGCAGGGAGCTTCGCGGAAACCACCACTCCGGTGACACGTGGAGATAGCAGCGGAGCCAGCTGCGTGGATGGCCCCTATGATCGGCGGGGCAGCAAGAGTGCCAGCTGCGCGGATGGCCTCGCAATCGTTTGTCTGAGCCTTTCCTGTTTTCGCTGTCGCTGTCAGCAGTCGGCGCCGTGTTTGGAGTCGTGTTACGCTACTGAGGGGCTGTGCGAGGTTCTGGTTCCCCCCCCCCCCCCCCCCCCTCCCCCTCTCCCCCCTTCGGGGCCCGGGGCTAAAGGGGCCCGCCCGTGGGGCCTGGGGCTGGATGGGGCCGCGGAAGGCCGTCGATCCTTGCCTCGGGGTGCTGGGGGGGCGCAGCCTCAGCGCGGCAGCTCGGTGGAGGCAGGCTGCGCCCCCGAGTCGGATCGGCAGGCGGCCGCGCGAGACCCTTAGGGGGGCCCGGCAGGCTGCCAGCTCGCGAGCCCTGCGCCGCCCGCGACTGCGGCGAGGCGCGGGCGCCCCGCAGCGACATGGCACCGAGAGCACCGAAAGTACGCGCGCACTCGCGCGCGCACGCACGCACGCACACGCACGCACGCGCACGCACGCACACCCGCACACATACGCGCGCCCACGCGCGCGCGTACACGCACTCGCGCACGCGCGCGCGCGCGTACACGCGCACGCGCACACGCACGCGCGCAGATACATATACTGACACACGCACGCGAGCCCCCACGCGCACGCGCACACGCACGCGTGCACGCGCGCACGTACACACGCACGCACGCACAAACGCACG